TAGAAAGCCTCATCTTTCTCCCGCGGAGCGGCTGGTAGTTTCGAACCGCTGACCTTAAGGTTCGCGACCCAATTCGTAACCACTACGCTACATTGCATACTGTCTGGAATCTTAAAAAGCCTTGAAGTGGCCATCTGGGGCACGATTGGTCTCCATTCACCTCGAGAAACAGAAGAGAACCAGGAATAGGAAGATATGGAATGTATGGCCAATTGCTTCTATGAACAACTGCTCCTTTTGCCATGAGACCAGAAGCAATTGAGAAAAAAGTTACCACTGTGGTGCTGTAGGATAAGCACTGGACTGTAAGGTCAGTTTGAGCCACAGGATCAGCAGTTCAAACTCACCAACCACTCCTTGGGAACCCTACAGAGGGTCCCTATGAGTCAGAACTGTCAGCACTTAACAAAAACTGAGCATTTTGATTTAAAATTCCATAGATGAATCCTGAGCAAAAGGGAGAAAATGCAAAACAATTTTAAATCCTCAGAGGAGCAATGAAGGATAGATGAACCCAGGAAACGATTGCCCTGAGATAATCTTTGAACCCTAAAGTGAAATATCCCCTGAAGTCTCTTAAATCTGAGCTGTTGTTTAGTTTAACTGGTAAAAAAAAAGGCCTGCCTTGTGCATATGCTCTTTTAAGAACTATCTACATGCGATCAAATTGACAACAGCATAGAAGATTAGATAGCAACCTTATGGGTAGTTCATTAATGAGGGAAGAAGAGCAACTCAAAAAAGGAGTAAGAATGGTTGTACAACTCCAACTCAAAGAATATAATCAGTATCACTAAATTATACATGTAGAAACTTGTTGAATTGGTGCATGTTTTGCTATGTATATTCTCAACAATAACAGTCATTTAGCTATATCCAGTCTACCCTACAGCCCTGATCTTGCCCATTGAGACTTTTTTGTTCCCCAAACTCAAAGAACATTTAAAATGAACACAATTAAGAGTCCCTTGAAGATGCCAAAATGCTATTTTGAAGTGGTATATATCAAAGACACAAAATTCTCTGGTGAAGTGTTAGGGAAATGGAAATAGCTCCTTCATATATATATATATAAACCTAGATATAAGATACGTCAAGAAACAATAGCTTCACATTTTCATATTTTTAAGAAATGTTTCTATGATTTTATAACAACACTTTTTGATTTACCCTAGTATAGATAAATGAGACACACTAATAACACAAAAGCAAGCCCCTTGGTAGCTGCTAACAGTTTAAGCCAAAAAACTTAAACTTTTTTCAAAGTTTTTACTATATGACTTTTAAGCTGCTTTTCTCTTTGCAATTTAAGTGTTCAGAGTAATTGTATACTGTTTGAGTAATCCTACATGAAAACATCTCTAAAAATTCTTATGTTTAAAGCACATTTGTCATTTTTTTAATTAAAAGGGTTGGGAGGGCAGAGAGGATTTCAAGATCTGTCTTGAAGTATACTGCTGTGATAATATCCATACACCTACAAAGAACTAATTTTGACAAATTTTCCCAACTTCTACAGTGTGAAAATGCAATCCAGATAATTGATTGGTGACTGGAATGCCAAAGTTCGAAACAAAGAGGAAGGATTAGTAGTTGGAAAATATGGCCTGGGTGATAGAAATGATGCCGGAAATCGCATAATAGAACTTTACAATATCAATGATTTCTTTGTTGCAAATACCTTTTTTAAACAACATAAAGGGCGACTATATACACGGACCTCACCAGACTGCACCTGTGGCACTAGTCACAATAGCAAAAAGATGAACACAGTCTAAACGCCCACATACAAAAGCTGGTCAAACTTCAGTTCATATACCCAATGGAATAGTATGCAACATCAAAGAGTACTGATGAACCTGTGTAACATCTCTCATAATATGCATGAACCTGGAGAACATTAAACTGAGTGAAATCATAATCAATCAAAAGGGCAAATATCATATGAGACTACTATTGTAAAAAGTTAAGAAGAGGTTTTCTTGGTAAATGAAACATTCTATCATGGTTACCAGGAGAGAAGGGAAAATTGTTTACTGCATTGAGGGTAGACACATGTTAACTTGGGTGATTGGGATGACAATATACAAGAGGAAGGTTGGCAAAGGAAAGATGAAGTCAGAAGACACAGGGAGGAGTGCCAGTGATTGATTGTTAATGATAAGAATGTATGACTTATTGAGTGTAGGACTGTTGCTCTGCTCTGTAAACCTTCAATCAATTCACAATAAAAAAGTTTAAAAAAAAAAAAAAAAGTAGCATATGATCAAGACCTGATGGTACTGAAGAAGTTCAACCTGCACTAAAGGCATTGGTGAGAAACAAGGTTGCAGGGATTAATGGAATACAAATTGAAGTCTTTCAACAAACTGATACAGCACTGCAGTCACTCACTTATCTATGCCCCAATATTTGGAACCAATTGGAAAAGATCCGTATTTGTGCCTATTCTAAATTAGAAAGGTAAACCCAGTGGAATGTGAAACATCAAACAATGTAATTCTTTGTAACAGGCACAAACATGGATCTTTGCCAATGTGAAAATTGAAAAACAAACACCACATGAAGTATTTGCTGAAGATAATTAAAAAACAATCGCAACAATACATTGACAAGGAGCTGTAGAAATCCAAGCCAGATTCCCAAGATGAAGTAGAACTAGATATCTCACTGCTGATATCAGATCTTGGCTGAAAGCAGAGAATACCAGAAAGATACTCACTTGTGTTTTACTGACTATGCAAAGTCATTCGACTGCAGGGATCATTAAAAATATGGATAACATTGCAGAGCCTGGGTATCCAGAACACTTGTGCTCAAGATCAAGAGTCAGTCTTACAGACAAAAAAAAAGATACTGAATTGATTTACAATCAGGAAAGGTGTGTGTCAGGTTTGTATCCTTTCACCATACTTAATATGTATGCTGAGCATACAATTCAAGAAATTGGATTATATGAAGAATGTGGCATCAGTATTGGTGGAAGGTTCATAAACAACCTAAGATACGTAGATGACACAAACTGATGAAAATCAAAGACTACAGCCATCAGTATGGCCTGCACCTCAATGGAAAAAAGACAAAAATCCTCACAACTGTAGCATCATGATAACTGGATGAAAAGATTGAAGTTGCTGAAGACTTCATTTTACGCAAATCAGCCATCTATGCCAATGGATACTACATTGGCAAATCTGCTTCAAAAGACCTCTAAAATGTTAAAAAGCAAAGCTATCAGTTTGAGGAATAAAATGTGCCTGACCCAAGCCATGGTATTTTCACTCGCCTCATGTATGTAAGAGAGATGGACAATGAATGAGGAACACCAGAAAAGAATTGATGCTTTTTAATTAGGGTGTTTGAGAAGAGTATGGAAAAGGCCATGGACTACCAGAACAACAAACAAAGCTGTCTTGGAAGAAGTGCAGCCAGAATGTACTTTACAAGTTAGGATGGTGAGACTTTATCTTTAATTCTTTGGACATGTTGTCAGGAGAAAGGGTATCATGCTTGGTAAAATAGAAGGTCACCATAAAAAAAGGAAGACCCCAATGGCACAGTGGCAGCAACAATGGGCTGACACATGACAACAACTGTGAGGATGGCACAGGACTAGGCAGTGTTTTAACAACAACAAAATCAAAATGATGTTTCTCATCATTATAAGCAGACATTCCCTTTAGGAAAATTGATATAAGACATTGTTAAGATCTTTAAGAAAACTATGTAGTGTGTACTCACTGTTACTTTTTTTAAAAAAGTAATGTATCCAATCAAAAGGATTTTGGTTAAGTGGATTATAGTGTCCTAATACATTGCTGTTGTTAAGTGCCATCGAGTTTATTCCGACCCATACTGACCCTGTATAGTGTTTCCGAGGAGCAGCTGGTGAGCTTGAACTGCTGGCCTTGCAGTTCAAACAGCTTTGCAGTCTAGCACATTAACCCACAGCGCCACACCAGGACTCTGTCATGATATATTATGCTGCCTTTAATATCTTGGAAAATCTTAATAGACATGGGAAAATGAGTAAGTGAAAATTACTAATGTGTTTGAAATGATGATTTTTATTTTCATTTTCTATGTTTTCTAAGGAGTCCTGATAGCATAGAGGCTATGAGTTGGGCTGCTCCATGGGAAAAGGGTGAGGCTTTCTGCTGCAGTAAAGATTTACAGCCTTGGAAACCCCATAAAGGGTCGCTATGAATCAGAACTGACTTAGCAGCACACCACTGTGTATCCTAATGGTATTGGTGAAAAATAATGAGTATACCATGGAGTGCTAAAAGAATAGACAAATCTGTCTTGAATAAAGTACAGCCAGAATGCTCCTTAGAAGCAAGGATGACAATATCTCATCTCAGGTACTTTGGACATGGTATCAAAAGGGACCAGTCCCTGGACATCATGCTTGGTAAAATAGACGTTCCGCAAAAGAGAACTGATACAGTGGCAGGCAAAAATGGGTTCAAACAACAAAAACTGTGAGATGGCTCAGGGCTGGGCAGCATTTCCTTCTGTTCTGCATAGGATGGGTAAGTCAGAACCTACTCAAAGGAACCTAACAACTTGTTTTTAAGTTTAAAAATTAACTTTCTAATTTGAAAACTATTTTAAAAGTGTGTCTCACTGTTTTCTAATTTTTGAGGCTTGATATTCTATTTTGTGTAGCTGTCTAGGAACGGTGGTTTGGCATGGTAGAACGGAAAGGTCAAAGGATGGCATTCGGAAATCTGGTTTGTCATCAACACTTCAGTAAATTGTAGACACCAGGAACACTGGACATTTGTTCTTTATGAAACTGCACATTTGCAAATATTTGGAAAACAAATATTTGAAGATTTTTACATGATTTATTTAATAAACCAATTAAAGATACAAAAAAGTTTAGAGGATTCCAAAATTTAAAAAAATTTTTAAATACAAATTCACTCTGTCATATGAAAACATACATTTGACCTCTAAACAATGCTTTTTTTCATCTACAAAAATTTTTCTTTACTAGAAAATTTGAAGAAAATTTTTCTTGAGAAAATATACATTATTTACAGTTGGAAAAGTAGTCTAACAACTATTTCATTTCAGAAAGTTTGATATATAAGTATGTATCTTTGTATGCAATTCTCCCCTTCACCCCCAGTAAAAAAGTGATCCAAAACATAAAGTAATTATGCTTTTATAGCAACTAACCACATGGCCAGATCAGTCCACGGCTCAAGTTGCTTTCTGGGCCTTTAAGAAAGGTCTTTTGACTTTTAATACAGCAGTTTATCATTAAGCATTCAGCAGTGGCCCACAATGGGCCTAAGAAGTTAATGACAAAGGATTTAAGAAACATTGAAGCTTACGACAGATCTTAGTGATAATGGAAAAATTAATTTTGTATAGCCACTTATTTTTCTTCCATATTTAAGCTGTATTTCCATTAGGATATAACTTGATAATGTTTTTAATTGCTATGAATTTAAAATAAAGGAATTAGAATCATAAAACTTAAACTTAGAAGAGAAATTGGAGAGCATTTAGTCTAGTCTAATACATCCCTTCCTTTGTGATCAGCCCTGAGGCCCAGAAGGATTAAGTGGCTTTCCAAGGTTACACATCTAGTTAGTGGGAGAGCCACTTTTAGGCTGATGCTTTTATACTACCCGTGCTTTTAAAGAAAATCCCAAAGCAGTATAGTTCCACCACATCATGTGTATGTTTTGATTTTGAATATTCTATCTTACATATCCAGAGTTCATAGTGCAGTAGACTTTAAGTCATCTAAGTGAAACCAAAATTTTAACAAAACATAGATTATTTGCATTTGAAAGTCAAGACTTAATTAACATACATGTGGAATGAAAACAGTTCCTTTACCTTGTACTCAAGTACTTATTTACAAAAGAATCAGAAAAGCTATTAAAATGTAAAATTAGTAAAGTTTAAAATGCTTATGATGTAGCAACTGAAAAAAAATCTCAAGTGAATGTTTTCATAGTATAAAATGTCTGTTCCTTCACAACTGAATTCTGAAACATTTGGAAACAAAAACACTTGGGTTGTCCCTCCCTCATCTAACCAACTCAAAATTAAATCAATTTTTAATTTTTTTTAAAGTAACTACAAAAATTAGGACTCTGTTGAATTTGCCATAGAATCAGATCGTTTGCAAACAACTGGAGATGTTCAATTCAAAAACAATCATCCATAATTCCTTTGGTGTGGTCATTAAAATGCGTTGGGCTCCAGGAGTTCGTTTTGTTTCACAGCGACCTGAGAGGTCACTCCATTAGAACTGGACATCACCATCACATAGGGCTGTGGTTGCTGCACTGCTTCTTCAGGGTCTTCATTCAAATGATCCTCAACTGCCTTTTTCTCTGCTTCCTGGACAAGAGTTTTCATTTCTTGAGTTTTCATAACTGAAGTGATGACGGTGCCAGATGGGTGAGCCACCAGTTGTGAATTTCGCGGAGAAAAGGTCACCACAGGTGCAGTGGCACTAAAGGACGGAGATGAAGCCATACTGCCGGTCCCATTGCAAATGGACTGAACATTGCTAGTAAGAACCTGCTGTACCTGGGCAGGGCTAAAGACAATGGAAGGTGGAGAGCCTGGCTTCTGTGACTGCAGCAGGACATTTTCTTTCAGTACTGTCATAGGCTGTGAGGACGGAATGGCTTGTAAAATAAATTTCTGCGACCCAGCACCTGATGCTGGATCTGTGCTGGCTATAACTGTTGTAAGTGGCACTGTCTGGAGTGTTACGGTATGCAACTGCTGGTTTCCTGGAGAAACAACCACGGGAACCTGGGCTGGAGCATGGAGAGTCCTATGACATTGTAAAATTAAAGTGAGAAAAATTAGTGAATTCCACATAGTTTAAAATTTTAGCACTCGACAAGACAAGTTACTATGACAAAATATTCATACATGTTATACATTTCAAATGCAAATTCTCAAATTTTCAACACAACATAAATATTTTTTTCCAGACCCTATATTAAACGCGATGCCCAACACAACCTCTCAGGCTTCTCACTGTCATACCATCTGGTGAATTCTAGGAAAAAAGGGTCTGTATAAAGTGACACATTAACACAAATGGGGAAGCAATGTTTTTGAAGAAGTATCAAAATGTTCACCAAAGGACATTTTGAGCTGCTTGAAAGAAAATGAAATTTTAAAATTAAATGTGTTCGATTCATATTACCTACATATTTGAGAAATAAATATTAATGTGCTGTGGAGTCCTGGTGTGGTTCTGTAGGTTAATGTGCTGGACTGCAAAGTTGGTTTGAACCACAAGGTCGGTGGTTCAAGCTCACCAGCTGCTCCTGGGAAACCCTATACAGGGTCACTATGGGTCAGAACTAACTCCATGGCACTTAACAACAATCACTGTGCAGCTCATCTACAACAATGAGCAAGGTCATGTGATTATAACTGTTTTCAACTTGTTTTGAAGAATGCTCATTAGTAAGCAAAAACAAAACTAAAAAGCCTCAGTGTACATATGATGTTAAGTGCCACTGAGTTGATGCTTCCAACTCACAGTGACCATGTGTAAGGTTTTCGGGGAGCAGCTGGTAGGATTGATCTACAGATTTCACGGTTTACAGTCCAGTACAGATCCTACAGCACCACACCCAAGAGTTTGTACATTAAGAAAAAGTCTTAAAATAATTTTAGTAATTCATAGTTAATATATTTATATAAAACAAATCATGTCTATAACTGACTCGGAAAAGAGAACATAAAAATAAGCCCTAATTTTAACAATTTTCTAGGCTCAAATAATTTCATAGATTTTAATCATAAAATTACAATTTAATAAATTCCTTGGTGCTATTAATCTAGCATTGTCAGTTTAGGTGATGTTGTTCATCCCATTTATTGAGGAAAAAAGTACATAAATGATATCACAAGTCAATCTAATAATTAAAGTTCACAGCTGTGAAATCTATCATTATGGCCACTATTCATATACAACAAACTGCAGTTGAAAAAACTCAGCATCTGGATCTAAACTCTGTTGTCTCTGAATTTTGTAAAGCTAGTTTATGAAAGATATATGATTGCTACTTCAAATGGGTAACAGACTTGTTCCAATAAATACAATGTTCATTATTGCCTGGAAATTATTAAAGCTAAATTGTAGTGAGTTAAAGCAGCTCTGGTAGCGTAGTGGTTACGAATCGGGCTGCAAACTGCAAGGTCAGCAGTTCGAAACTACCAGCTGTTCCGTGGGAGAAAAGATGAGGCTTTCTGTTCCCGTAAAGATTTACAGCCTCGGACACCCTGTTCAGGGTCGCTATGGGTCGGAACTGACTCAACGGCACTTAACAACAACAACATAGATAGGTGACTTGTCACACATGAGAGAAATGATTGTCATTCAAGTGATGATTCTGAGGATGAGTCTGGAGCAGGATATTATCAGCTCTTTTGAATGATGAAGTTAGAATAGCTGTGAACAGGGGTAATCAAGATTTAATAGGTTAATAGGGTGTGGATAAGGAGCCCTGGTGGCAAAGTGGCTAAGTACTCAACTGCTAACCAAAAGGCCAGTGATATGAACCCACTAGCTGCAAATATGAAGAAAGATACGGCAGTCTGCTCCTATAAAAATAACAGCCTTGGGAACCCTATGGAGCAGTTCTACCTTATCCCAGGATTGTTACGCATACTTGGCACCAATGGATATGGCGGAGTTCCTAAATGGTATACTAACAAGTTTCACTGCAAAAGGAAAGGTTGGTGGTCCAGGTCACACAGATGCCTGGTGATCTACTTCCTAAAAACCAGTCACTGAAAACCCTACGGAGCACAACTGTATTATGACACATTTGGGAATCATTACAAATAGGGAACTGATAACTTACTAGGGGATGACTAGAAATAAAAGACACACTAAAATACTAGGCAGGCAGTGGTGAATTGGAATGAAATAGAATCAAGTTGGTAGCTAGAGAGCTTTTCAAAATATACTTCCCGCCTCCCCCACGGCACCCGGGCACTCACCCAAACTAGCAAATCTCAGGTGGAATCTGAGCTGCACGGTCTGATAACAGTATTAAAACAGGAAAGACGCAGAAGTTTCCCATTCCAAGAATTTATATACATGTACACACAGAGTGCTTAGCATAGAGTAACCAGACAGACTGTAACTATAAAGTGTATACCCTTGCCAGTGTTGATAGACATTTATCAAGGACATAAATGTAAGGGCTAGTCTAAGTGCTTCCATGTTACCTCCCTCCCTCCATACTCCCCACAACCTTATAAGTACAGTTACTTCCATTTTTCATAGGAGAAAACCGATGCACAAAGAGTAAGGTTACATCAGGTGACCAATTAGATAACAAGAGGCCCATCTGATTGTAGAGACCATGCACATAACCATTATAACACATACTGTCTCCTCAAGTCCTGAATAACTTCTACAAAAAATTAGTATTTATTATTATTAACCTTTTAACCGTGGCTAATTACAACTCTTGGAGTCCTAATGTGACGCTGTGGGCTAATGCACCAGACTGCAAAGCTGTTTGAACTGCAAGGCGGCGGTTCAAACTCACCAGCTGCTCCTTGGAAATCCTATACAGGGTCGCTATGGGTCGGAATTGACTTGACGGCATTTAACAACAACAATAATTACAACTCTTATACACATCTCCCTTTCTCAGTCCCCTGCTCAGGTGTGACACAGTGATAATGTACTTGGAAATTTTCCATTCTGCTAATCAGGAGTCCTGATGTGGCACCCTAGGATAAGCACTTAACCTGAAGGTCAGTTTGAACTGCAAGGTTGTTGGTTCAAATTCACCATCCACTCCCTGGAAACCCATTATACAAGGTTGCTGAGTCAGAACCGACTCAATCGCACTTAACAACAACAATCAGGGTTCAACAATCAGGGTTACTGTTAGCCCTTCAGTGCTTTTATTCAGATCCGAAAAAGGCTCTCCCATTTCTTATGGCACCTGATTGCCATCTGTGAGAAAATATGGAAATATCCACAAAGTAGTGTTTGGTCACATGGTTTATAGTAAACTTTTTAAAAACTTTTACTGTAAGCTTCTTATTTAAAAAATGGAACAATACATGCTAAGTTATAATTCAAACTTTCTGAGACTAAGAAAGATGCAACATAAAATTCAACTTTTTTCAAATGCCAATTTATATTTCAGGTAATGTCATTTAAGCACTGCAGTCACCTATAAATAGGTCAAGTTTTAGCATCCTTATTTTACTGATGATGAAACAAACTGGAAACAATTGACTAGGTATTAGACCTAATAATTGACAAGGCTGGATGACTAAGAATACATTCTTCCAAGTCTAACATCACTTTTCACATATGCATTATACATTTGGCACTGTGGGATAAAGCACTGCTGGACTGGAAGGTCAGTTTGAACCACAACGTTGGTGGTGCAAACTCACCAGCTGTTCCTTGGAAACCCTATACAGGGCTGTTATGAGTTGGAACCAAATCGATGGCACTTAACAACAACAATTATCCAAAAGAAACTACCTGTGCTTGAATAAACAAGTTTACCAAGGTACAATTTCAGGAAAACAATTTGCCAGAGACTATTTATTTTTAATAATATGAAGCCAGACCAAATTTAAATTTGTAAAAATTGAGTACATAAATACCAAAATGTTTAATTTCAACATACACAAATGCAGTTGTCTGAGATGAAAAAAAATGAGCACGGGGGGAAAACTGAAATGTTGCTGCCTCACTGTAAGTAACTGATAATGTATGTGGTTTATCTAAATTAGTAGATAGTATGGCATGTCACTGGAGTCCGAGTGGGATGCTGAGGGCTAATACGCTGGATTGTAAGGTCGGTTTGAACTGCAAGATTGGCAGTTCAAGCTCACCAGCTATTCTTCAAAAACTCTATACAGGATGGCTAACCAACTCAAAGGCATTTGACAACAACAACAACATGGCATGCCATTATGCTCACTGCTTTGGACTAAACTGCTTACCTTATAATAATGGCTAGATACTGACATTTAATAAATGTGACCAAGCTTCTCAGCCTCTCTTTACTCAGTTTCCTTATCTATACAGCTCTCTGACCTAGGAGGATTCTATATGTCAGTATATGTAAAAGTGCATACAGAATTTTCTATAACTCATGCTATATTATAAACAATTCAGCTAAAATTTAAGTTAATATGCATTGTACTTTGTCAGTCACAGAAGACTCTTAAAAAGTCAATTGTAACTCATAGTGACTTCATATAGGGTTTCTGAGACTGTAAATCTTTGTAGGAACAGACATCCTTCTCCCACAGAGCAACTGGTGGGTTTGAACCACTAACCTTGACATTAGCAGCCCGACGTTTATCACACAGTTTACTATTGTTGTTGTTACATGCCGTCAAGTTGGTTCTGACTCATATGGACCTGGTATAGGGTTTCTAAGGAGTAAGGAGAAGCTGGTGGGTTTGAACCACTGACTTTGCAGTCTCAATGTTTATCCCACAGTAAATAAGTAAATAAGGCTTCTATTTAGAGGTGAAATGTTATGATGAAGTTAACTTACTTGAAAATAGTTAAGCAGAAAAAAAGTATCAATAAATACAAACAAAAAACAAATAAGTCAAATTACTAGCAAATCTGTGATTCTAAAACCAACACAAAAGTAGGTATTGGTTGTACTATATCAACTTTTCTTTATTCTGAAATTTTTCTTAATAAAAAGCTACAGAAATTATAAAAATACAAACACCAAAAAAATCACTAAGCTAGGAATTCTAAAAAGATTCTAGAAATTAGTTTTTCTAATGAAAAACTAGACTGATAATATGGCAAAATTTTAATGTGATATATATACTTGCTTGAAATTTATTTTACATTTTTTTTATATATATAGTGGAGAGAAACAAGATAAAAGCAAAAAGCTAAGTAATTACACTCAGGAGCTGAAAATCTTTAAAGATGACAGATTTTTTCATCCCACTTCTAATAATTTATCTAATAATTTCAGGGAATAAAAGGCATTCGATTAAAAGTTTAACTGCCTGGAAACAGAACTTTTGGGTGGTAAACAAAAGATACAGTCAAATGAGAGATGAATTTAAAAATTAAAAAACAAAAACAAATATACATGTATACATAAAGACATAAGAATTACTACAAGATAATAATGTATGACTTCAAGTTTGAGGAAGTTAAATTTCACATTTCTTTAAAGTCCAGTTAGAGAACTCATTACCCTAAGAGAAAACAGGGAATGACTATATCCATGACTTCAAGATCAATTCATTAAATAGGAATGCATGTTATGCACTAGATACTATATTTGTTGTTGTTGTTGTTAAGTGCCGTCGAGTCGGTTCCGACCCATAGCGACCCTGTACTATATTAGGTATGAGGAAAACAGTAATGTGTGTAATCTGGCTCCTACAGATTTAAATCTACAGGAGGAGACAGTGGTTAGAATAAATTGAAATGCCCCGTGTGTGCACCACCAGACTGAGGCACAGGCAAGTAGTCAGGCTGAGCTGGAAAGCAGGGAAATCATTCTGAACTGGCAAGGCTACACAACTTGGAGAGCACAATGTGCAACATTGGAACTAACAAAAGCTGCAAGAAAACACCATCACAAACCAACTTTACGACCCTCCAAGAAGGGGATCCTAGTGACTATTAGCCATTACATAGTTCCTGTGTCAACACAAATACAACATAAGATGGCAAAGAGTCTAGAAACCAATGGGAGGAGCAGCATACTCCCACTGTACTCGCAGTTACCACATGAACTAACAGGAGCTAGAGGAAGTCCTCTAATAAAAGCTGACAATGCCATCATTCCTATCCAATTAAAATTAGAAAAAAAAGTCTTATTGTTATATTCCTATTCTTAAGAGTCAACTAAGGATTTATGAGAATTACATTTTCACAACGTTGAAGGTTTTAACTGCCTTGGTGGCATTGTAGGATAAGCACTGGACTGCTAACCACAAGGTTGACAGATCAAACCCACCATAAAATTTATAGCCTCAGAAACTTTCTATCAGGTCTCTATAAGTTGGAATCAACTTGATGGCATTGAGTTTTATATTATACAAGGAAAACTTAACCATTCAAGTCTAGATTTTGGATAATGTTAACTAAGGTGCGCCTGACCCAAGCCATGGTATTTTCAATAACCTCATATGCATGTGAAAGCTGGACAGTGAATAAGGAAGACCGTAGAAGAATTGATTCCTTTCAGTTATGGTGTTGGAGGAGAATACTTAAAGTGCCATGGAATGCCAAAAGAACCAATAGATCTATTTTGGAAGAAGTGCAGCCAGAGTTCTCCTTAGAGGCCAAGATGGCCAAACTTTATCTCTCATACTTTGGACATATTGTCAGGAGGGAACAGTCGCAGGAGAAGGATATCATGTTTGGTAAGGTGGAGGGTCAGGGAAAAAGAGGAAGACCCCCAACGAGATGGATTGGCCAGGTGGCAGCATCGATGGACTCAAGTGTGGCAACAGTAGTGAGGTTGGCCCAGGATTGGGCAGGGTTTCGTTCTGCTGTGCACAGGTTGCTTATGAGTCAGTGCCGACTCGATGGCACCTAACAACAAGAACAACAACTTACTTCAACATCAGTTGAAAACCCACCATTTATATTCTGAAGTCTGCTAAGGAAACTAATCAAAGAACCATATTTATTGGCTTTGGAAGGGCTCTATGTTTCATAAGAATTCATTTCTGAAAACTTGTGACCGTAAAAACAGAATGACATTGCAATGCCCATCTAGATTTTTTGCTTCCCCATCACTAAATCAGCCAACACCAACACCAGTCTAAAGCAGACAGCTTCTCTTAATCTATCTGTTATTTCACATTTTCCTTGGGCTACATAAGGTAAATATGATTTGAGTAAACAAACAGGTTTTTAAAAAGCGATTCTTCCAACTTCCACTCTAAAAGCCTAAAAAAGAGTATCTCAACTCTAGGTTATTGGTCTCTCATCTGTTTGAACTTTAGAAGTGTTGAGTGATAGGATCATTCCAAAAAATAAGGTTTATTGCATGAAACTAAACGTGTGTTGAAAGATCTTTATATGCCAATTTATAATTTTACAGCTTTTGCTTTGATTAAAAGAAAATTTATCTGAAGCCATCCTCTGTATTTTCTTATATTTGGATCAATTCTTGTATGGACCAATACAGTTATACACAGGTATACTGAACCAGACTTAAATTGGTAAAATAATATTCAAGTTCAAAAATAAAGAATCACTGATACTGACACAATCTGTTGATCAAGTGTTCTAGCCCAATTTGGTTTTAGTAACAAGATAACCGCTTTGCTTTGTGCCTCAAACTTTCTCCATTTGTAGAATGAAGATATTAACTACACACCATCAAAAACATACCCACTGCCACTGAGTTGATGTCCACTCTTACTGACCCTATAGGATGGAGTAGAACTGCTCCTTAGGGCTTCTGGGACTGTACATTTTTATGGGAGCAGACAGCCTCATCTCATCTTTCTTCCATTTGTTGTTAAATGCTGTAGAGTTGGTTCCAATCGATGGTGACCCTATATAGGGTTTCCGAGGAGCGGCTGGTGAGCTTGAACCACCGACCTGGCCATTCAAAATGACTTTGCAATCCAACCATTAACCCACAGCACCACACCAGGACTCCTTTCTCCCGTAGAGGGTTTTAAACTACTGACATCTTGCAGTTAGCATCCCAAAACCCACTGCGCCACCAGGGCCCTTAACTACATCATCGGAATTTTTAATACAGTACTTTTCAATTGGTGCCAATTTATCAGTGTTTGTTATTCATTCATGAGGCGATAAGGAATAAAGAGTAAACATTTAGATATCTGTATAACAATTTGGCAGAGTAATTATAGGTCTACTAAATCTAACAGTGGAAAAAAAAAAGTTCTTAAAATCTATATAAATTTTTATTTTCACTTCTGAATCTACTTAAAAAAATAATATCTCTGGTCAAAAACATCACTTAGTGGTATGATGCGCTGTAACTTCAGTGTTCTCACCTAATATTTGGAATGGAAGAATGAACCGTTTCCTCTTGCATGCTACTGGTGACGGCTGCTTCTCCTTCTGAGACAGTCTGTACTGGCTGCACTACATGAACAGTCCGGAAGAGCTGGGTGGGATATGGAGACTGTGTGGGCTGTACTGTCCTCAAAACTTCTGATGGCTGTGCAACTTCCACCGGATCTTTGGCTTTTGTAGCTTTAGAATTCCCTGGTTTGAGAACAGTATTGGCTCCTCCTTTCACTCCTGTACTTGAAGGCACCCTGGATCGGCTTACTTGATTCCTACTTGAAGTGGTTGTTGAAGACAGTGATGGATCTGAAGACTCTATGCTGGAACTTGGATCCTCATCATCTATATAAATAAGATTCTTTGGCATTTCCTTAAACTGATACACCAAGCGCTGGCCTTCCACTTTTGCCAGAATACCCCTTTGGTAATAGTACCTATTGAAAGCAGACAATTACATCAATATTCTACTTAAAAGCAAAAATGACATGCAACAAAATCAAATGTTCTTAGTCATACACAAAAGCTTAATGCTGAATATCTACAAAACATACACTTTACTCACAAATGGAGAAAAGTCCTTATTACCAATTAAATCTAAAATCAATGCCAACTAAGAGAGTATTATTATAAAATATATGGATTTTTCTGGACCCTCACTATTCTTCCATCCTCTGCCCCTTCTACTTGCCTTATTCAGGAATAACAAATCTACTACAACGCTCCACACTCCACCCTCAAGAATTTGTTTTTCCCTCCAGAGCTTCCAAAGTTTAAATTCAAATCAGTTATTTGATTGTGTTGTGTATAACATTAAATGATATACAAATCATTTAATTTTTATTATATGTTTTAATTAAATCAAGTAGAATCTGAAATATAAACTTACACACAAATCTGTAACTGAATAGTTCTAGCCTAAGAAAAAGATTATAAAATTAAACATACCCTTACAATCATTCAGATTATTGCTAGATCACTGCTATTTCTAATATGATTCTCTATCTTGAAGAATAAATGACATAATCTCAGAAAAGCAAATAAAGGTGAGCTTAAAAATGGTACACTTGTCCAAAATGTTCATGCCTAACATTAGTTTATCCTACCATAATATATACCATATTAGGTTTCAAAATGAACCTTCAGTACCTGCATTACCACTATTTGTACTCTGTGTTGAATTTAAATTTAAAGTTTCAAAGCATATGAACCTTGTGGTTCAATTACAATTACCAGTGATAACTTAGCATTTTCTAATCACTTTATAAATAAATCATGTCTTTTATACAATGATTTCTTGGAAAGGCAAGATTTTCCCAGATTCTTATAAAATTTCTAAATAAATGCACACTGACTTAAATATGTGCAAAATCAATAAAATTCAGTTGTGTTCACTATATCTTTAGTCCCTTACTTTTAGAAGTTATCAATATATACATTTAGTATTTTTAGAAATGAGATCCTTAACATAATGAACTATAAAAACGTTACAAACCTGAGAGCTCTTCCCATGGTCTCGTAATTCATATCAGGTTTATTTTTGTGCTTTCCCCACAACTTGGATACTGCTTTAGAATCTACCAATTTAAAAATGCCTTTTTCTCGCTGGGTCCATTTGATGTATTTGGGACAGGTAGCTTTGTCCTGAAGCAGTGCCAGTAAAAACTCCCAAAGATAAATTGTGTTTCCTGAAACAAAAGCAGTTTCCTATTAACAGATCAAAACTTCCTTTTTTTAAATAACACAATAAAATATAACTTTAAAGTCTTATAAAAGTTCCATCTAAAGTTATACAAAAATATTACATAATCCAACTTAATTTCTGTAATATAAGGGCCAGAATTTTTAGAGTCTAATACAGATCTTTTCATTAGTCCCTTAAAAGATGTCTGAAATGATCAATCTTGGAGATTAGATTTGCGATGACTTAGTTAAAAAACACTTTGGGACTTAATTTTTCTCTGCCTTTTTTAAGAACGACTGTGTAAAATCAGCAGAAAAGATACACAAAATCTTTCAATAGCTGTTCTCTTTACAATTTTATATTAGAGGCAGCCATATAGCAATTTCCTTCAAAATTTGGGAACCAGTTATGAAAACATTGGAATATTAAAACAACATGATAAAGTGCCTATGAAGTGAAAACCTAACCTGGTTAAACTCTTCAGAAAGTTCTCATTATGTAATGAAAAAATGGATTCTTTTGACACTAAGTGAACAATCACTCAGATTTCTTGAACTCCATTCAATATTATCCATCTCTTAACAGCTATTTTAAAAACATGTAGCGGCAGCAATGTTCCATCTCCATATGTCAAGGGAGCTGATGGTTTCTACTTACAATATACAGACACTCTAAATCAATCCGAATGCTTCTTAACCTGTACAAATTCAAGGGAAATTACAGTAGTACTTACCCTTCCCATCTTTGTTTTTCTTCTTCACAGATATGTTTGGTGTAGTGGCTGGGGAATCTGGTCGTGCTGGTTTCGTTTTTCTCCCTGAAATCAGAATTGTTGTTGTTGTTAAGTGCTGTCTAGTCGGTTCTGACTCATAGCAACCCTGCATAGGGTTTCTGAAGAATAGCTGGTGCGTTTGAATCGCTGACCATACATTTCACACCAACCTTGATGTTGAATGCTTATTCAACATCACACAGGACTCCGAAATCAGAATAGCTGTACATAATAAATGTTCGCTCCCAAAAGTAAAAGAGAATGGACAATTTAGCTACTTAAAAAATGCTATTTTGGTATTTATCCTGAATTTCAAGTGCCAAATGCTTGGGTCATATTTACTGGGCTCCTAAAATGCTGTTTACTAAAGAAAAATAACATTAGCACTGAGTATCAATATAGGTTATATTACCAACAAATTTATTTAGGAAATGATATTTAACTCATCCGTCTTGGAGGTGATAATACTGGCATGGCTTCCTTAAAATTTTGTAGCATGTTCTTGAGGCTAAAAAAAAAATAAGCCCTCTAGCTTGCCTGACTTTTAATTACATAAAAATTTTAAGGTATGAGATGTGGATTTTTAGCTTTCCTTTGCTAAAAGCAACTCTGCATACAGTTAGTTTTCAAATACTTGACAGTTTCCAGAACTCTAGGAAACGTTCTCAGAAAAATTTTGGTGAGCCACATATTTAATTTTTAATTTCCTGTATTTTCATTTTATTTTCCTTTATGTCTTTAAAACATCTCAATTTTTTATACTTCTTTCAATACATAGCAAACGAACTTTATAGGTGTCCATCATCCAATCTCTGATTATAGTGGACAATTCTTCTAAATCCCTTGTTTGCCATTTATCTAGACTTGCAGCTTGGGGGCAATGTTGCCTATACATTGAGATGATCATGCTGTCTAAACAGACAACTCTGTGAGAAACAATGGAGAATAACCATAAATGGATTTTTCAGTCAGTACCTCTTAACCACCCCAATATTCTAGATCATGACAGTGCATTCTGGGCTGATGGAAGGAAAACACTATGAAAAGTAGAATTCTAGAACTACAGTGTCATGAATAGTAACAGGTCATCCCTATAGAAACTGAGTAGGAAAACATTTCTGGAGTAAGAGGAAAGGAGAAGAGGGTCAAAAAGTCACTTTTTCAAGGCTTTATTGGCCAACATATGAACATGAAACCAGTTAGCCAGCAATCTCAACTTCCACACTACAGGTATCTGCAGAGAAACCATTCATCAGGCAGATGTTTTTGGCTGGCTGTGCACATGATATTGAGTATAAGAAGCCAGGACTTAGTAACTGCCTACCTTCCTACCATTTTTTTGTTCTATCTTAGCTAATTTTGTTTGTGCTTCATTTTTTCTACTTACCTGTCTATTCTTAACATACATAACATTTTCTTTGTTCCCACTTTTTCTCTGTATTAGTTTAAGAAATGTTATACACTGCTGGTAGCTACCCAATACAATTCTCTCCATCATCTTCCATACTTTTTGAAGTGGCAACAAACACAGCTTCCTATGAACCACAGCTTAGAAATTTTGGTTGACAGTCATTTCTTCTCAGCACTTTAGGATATTCAACTCTTTCAGTTTTTATTTGGAACATCTATGATTCCAATCTAATAATCATTCCTATTTAAGTATCATAGTTTCTCCCTGGTTTGTTTGTTTCTATTTATTTCTTTTGGGGTAGGGGTAGAGAAAAGGGTCTTGGTGTTCTACATTTTTATTATAAACATGTAAACCTTTTCATTTAACCCACTACATCTCCAACTCTTTCATATAATTTACTCAACATCAGATCTATAATGGCGTTCACTCTTCAGAAGTCTGCTGTTTAATACATGTATTTCTTTAAACTTCATTTTCATTTATTTAAGTTCTATTCATCTTTTTAAAATCATTTTACTTGGTCTTTAAAAATCAAAAGAGTCTTATTGACGTATATCTGACATACAATAAACAGCCTATGTTTAAAATTTACAATTTGATATGTTTAGGTGACACTGTCACCATAATCAAGAAAATGAACATATCTGTCACTCATAAAAATTTCTTTGTGCCCTTTGGTAGTTCTTACATCTCACTGCTCTACCCTAGTCAATACACAGGTCAAACCAGTGATACGTTTTCTGCCATTATAGGTTTAGTTTAGGTTCTTTGGAATTTTATATAAACAGAATCACTCTGATTTTGGTCTGACTTTATTCAGCTTCACTAGTCTGAGGTTTATCCATTTTTGTTGTGCATGTCAACAGTGTTGTTGTTGTTGTTGTAGGGTTTCCAAGGAATGACTGGTGAGCTTGAACTGTTGACCTTGCCATTCAAACTGACCTTGCAGTCCAGCACATTAACACGCAGCACCACATCAGGACTCCGTGTTAACAGTATAATCTATTATATCACTGACTAGTAATCTAATATATATATATAATCACAAATTAATTTACACTATCAGCAACTCAAAGGCACTTAACAAAATAACAACAATCAGCAACTTAGGAGCTCTGGTAGCGTAGCGGTTATGAGTTGGGCTGCCAACCTCAAGGTCAGCAGTTCCGTGGGAGAAAGATGAGGTGTTCTGCTCCCGTAAAGATTTATAGCCTTGGAAACCCTGTACAGGGTCACTGTGAGTCGGAATCAACTCCATGCTACTTATCAACAACAACATCAGCAATTGATGGGATATTTCCATTGTGACTATTGCAAACAAAGCTGCTAAGAGCACTAATGTACAGGTATTTATATAAACATATGGTTTCCTATCCTTTGGGTGTTGTTGTTGTTGTTAAGTGCCGTCGAGTCAGTTCCGACCCATAGCGACCCTGTACAGGGTTTTCGAGGGTGTAAATCTTTACGGGAGTAGAAAGCCTCATCTTTCTCCAGCAGAGCGGCTGGTAGTTTCGAACCGCTGACCTTAAGGTTCGCAGCCCGATTCGTAACCACTACGCTACCAGAGCTCCCTATCTTTTGGGTAGATACAGGGTAAATCAAACATTATTGCTTTTAGTGTTTGAATTTACACACGCACAGGTTTATTCCAAACAAAATGTGCTTAAACATGTCTCTGCGATCAATGGATGACTACAGACAAGTTCTCTCAGTGATAAACTTGCTCTTCATCTCTTTAGGGTGCCTTCAAAGAAAAAGTCTTATCACAATAGTAACTTCCAAGAGGATCTGCTGGCTCAATTAAATTCAAGGCAGAGGTCAATTCACAATGTTATGGTGACTGCTTTTGGAGATAATCTTGATAGATTTTCTCAAAAGATACAGGATGACCATGGGAACATATGAAGAAATTGTATGTCTCTCTGTGCATCTCCCTCCTCTCTGCCCCTCTGTCCCCCACTCTGTATGTAGATGCCTCTTGGATTCCCAGCTCAGTTTCCTCAATTCATGGAGATTATCTGGGCTGCAGCCTAGGACTCTTCTCCAAGCAGGAACAGTAAGGAACAGTAATCATAATGCTCACCTTAGGTTTTCCATCTCTCAGGATCACTGTCTCATATGTCCAGTGTCCACTGTACTGCTTTTTTCATATATTCTATTCACTATCCTGGTGTGGCACTATGGGACAAAGCACTGGACCGCAAGGTCGGTTTGAATCACAAGTTGGCAGTTCAAGCTCACCAGCCACTCCTTGGAAACCCTATTAGTTACCATGAATCAGAACCAACTCAATGGCACGTAACAACAGCATTCACTGTTTTGTTTTAGCCAAGAAAGTAAATCTAGCCTCTTGTTATTCAATCTACTAGAAAAGGAAGTTTCACCTGATTTTTCTTTTTTAAACTTCTTATTGTCCCTGCCCAGAGCAACAGAGATGCCTGAGATGGAGACAATGATGATGACGTGGAGTGATGAAGCGACTGGGGACTTTGGACCCAGAGAGGGAAAGGGACTGTGGCCCGAAAATTGGGGGGAGGAGGGGGAAGTGTAGGGGGCGGGCTTCTGGGATATACCCTTTGGGTGGTTGAGGATGCATGGAGGGAATTGGAACCATGGCAGTGAGATGATATATGATGGAATGAATGTAAAACTGAAGTTCCCCCATGTAAACTATCATATGATTCACAATAAAACATTTAAAAAAACCCAACTTTTTATTGTGAACTATGTAAAGGTTTACAGACAAGATCAGCGGTTTTACATTCAATAAGTCATACCCTTTGTTTCATCTCAATGATTGCAATCCTTCCTATGCAACAACAGTTACTCCACTTCCTCCTTGTGCTTCCTCTTTCCATCCCACCCACCTTTCCTTCCCTTCTCAACTCTGTCCTTAGGTAAAAGCTGTTCTTTTGATTTTGAAAGACTAACCCTTTCTTGGTGACCATATCTTACTAATGTTATTATACACCTTATATACCTATCTGTGGCTTGGCTGAAAACAGGGCCACAAGGATGAGTTCCATTCCAACCTGAAGGGTGGTTGAGGGCCATAGTCTCAGGTTCCTCTAGTCTCTTACTAACCAGTAAGTTTTTTGTTGTTTTTTTCAATTTAGTTATGTTCCACATTTTCTTCCGTTCTATTCAGGACTTTGTAATGTGATCCCTTTCAGAGCAGTTGGTAGTGGTAATGGGACATTATCTAGTTCAGTCTCAGGGTTATGGAGCCTAGTGTTCACATGTTTCATTAGTCTGTTGGAGTAATTGATTCCAAGCCTCTTCAATTCCCATTAGTCTTCTTTCTTCCAATCATGGAGAGACCAATAAGTTGCACATTAGATAGCACCTTAGATAGGCCCCTGAGCTTTTAAGATCTCAGACACTACTCACCAACATAGGATGTAGAATATTGTCTTTGTGCACTGTTATGCTAACTGACCATGGTGTCCCCTGGACTATGGTCCTGGGACCCCAGGCCCAGCAACTCAGTACCTTAAGATGTTTGATATTATCTAAGAAGTGTTCATCATTTTGACCAATGTCTGCTTCACCACATTCATATTTGTGTTTGTATGAAAGGTAAATTGTTGTTGTTGCTGTTAAGTGCCAATGAGTCAGTTCCTACTCAGAGTGACCCCGTATAGGGTTTCTGAGTAGTGGCTGGTGAGCATGAGCTGCCGACCTTGTGGTTCAAACCAACCTTGAAGTCCAGTGCATTAACCCACAGCGCTACACCAAGGCTCCGAAAGGAGGTACAAATACCTTCTTTCAAACTCAAATATTTGTGTGTGTGTGTGTGGGGGGGGGTTATATATATACATACACACATACATACACTTCTGGTGTGGTATATACATACACTTCTGGTGTGGTGCTGGACTGGGAACCACAGGATCGGCAGTTCAAACCCACCAACTGCTCCTCAGAAACCCTACATAGGGTCGCTATAAGTCAGAACTGACTCAATGGCACTTAACAACAACATATATACCCTACTCTTCCTCCCATACCCATTCAGACTGTGTCTCTGTCCATATATCTACACACAGAACACTGTTGTTCCAAGATTTTATACATATAAAATATTTACCTCTATCCCCTTTAGCCTTTGTATACCTCCCTGTGTCTTTACCTATCTTTTTCATTGTTTTACCAACCTCCCTCTTCTTGTATACTGTCCTCCCAGTCACCTAAGTTAACATGTGTCTACCCTCTAGCCAGTGAATTACTCTCCCTTCCCTCCCACCCGTGCGTGGTAATATCAAAGAATGCTTCTTTTAATATGAAAACTTTTTCTTGAGTTTTTACAACAGTAGTTTCACACAATATTTGTCCTTATGTGGTTATATTACACTCAGCATAATGTCCTCTAGGTTTATGCACGTTATGAGGTGTTTCACAGATTCACCGCTGTTCTTAAATGTTACATAGTATTCCACTGTGTGTTTGTTTATCCATTCTTCCACTGATGGGCATTTATACTGTCTACATCATTTTGCTATTGTGAAGTGTCACCCGGAAATTTTTAATGGTCTTATTTTTTCCCAATGATTTTTATATTCCTTGCTATAAATGTAATTATATTCATTTAAAGTTTCTGTTTACTAACTCTGAAGTGTCTCGGTCTGTTGCTTCTCATTGAGTGCCTTTCTCATGTGTTGTAATACTGAAATGTGATCTCACCTTCAACAGGAGTTTGTTTATCTAGAAATTCTGTGTCCTTCATGGGTAATTTTAAAAGAACTTCTGCCAGAGATGAGGACATGGAGAGAGAGAGAGCAGCTAAGGACTCTAGACTCATGGAAAGAGAAAGGATGCATGCTGACGGCCAGGAGAGGCAGGCTTGTAGAATGTGCCCTTTAGTTGTTTAAATTATTATATATTCCTGAGTGTTTTTGTGTACATCTCACCTCACCACCCCCACCCCCAAAAAACAGAGGGAATAGAAGTAAATACCATTGAACATACAATGATGCACGGAGGAGATTGTAATCATTGCAATGAAATGATGTTCTCCCATGTAAATTGTCACTCAATTCACAATAAAAACTTAAGTTAAAAAAAAGAAAAAAGAACGTCTGCCAGGTGCTCAAAATTATTACTACCCTGGGGCTACTTTATGTTAATTACTTGGCTGGGAATTTCCAAAGTCAGTGATATATTAAAATCTAACCTTACACTTGAGTTGTTGTTGTTGTTGTTGTTGTTCTTGTTAAGTGCCATTGAGTTGGTTCCAACCCGTAGTGACCCTGTATAGGGGTTTCTAAGGAGTGACTAGTGAGCTTGAACTGCCGACCTTGTGGTTCAAACTGACTTTTCAGTCCAGCACATTAACTCACAGTACTACACCAGGACTCCTATACTTGAATTAGGACAGACTTAAAACTATGAAATTTCTGAGGGAGTATTTCTCCATTCATAGCTCAGGCCAAGAAACACATGCTTCCATTACATTTTGTGCCAGACCGTAGATTTTTATCCCAAGTACTGAGAGTATGGCCTCTCAAGGACTCCAGTTTATATGCTGGTGTCTCTGTTCAATACTCTGTATCATCTAAGCTTCTACAAGGGCTATAAAATTCAAGTCCTTTGGACACTAAAGACCAATATATCCTTCTTAGTCCATCAGAATAGCTACAGTGTCAGCTCATGCTTACTATTCTTACTGTTTCTAGTTTCCTTCATTTGTAGCTCTTGGAATTTCCCTTACTTTAGGCTCCTGGATGGCTAGTGATGCCATTAGTGAAGATATTAAATTGAAAATATTAAACAAACTGGAGTAGAATCAAAAGGCAATGGAATGGAAGTGTCAGACTTCAGAATGAAAATGTCCTAATTTGTAAAAAAAAATTTAATTTCCCTAGTACACACTTTAACTTTTCTTCTTCTATTATTTACCTGACTTCCACTTCATCATATCTTTCAGCATAAATCAGATATTGGACTCTATACTGATGGTTTTTCAAACTATGCCTATTGGGAGGAAGTTGACCTGTCCTCATCGCCAAGCTTTTTCTGAATTTACATAAAGAGTTTGGATATAAGTTTGATGCATAAAAAAGTTGGAAAATCCCTTATCTGTAAAAAGGATCAAATATTTTCAATGCATCAAGTAACACATTCAAAATGAATTTGAAGTACCTCTTAATTTATTTTATGTTCTTCAATTTTTCTACCTAAGTTTTTTAAAATGCCCCACACTTACAGTAATCTTATTTGTCTCCTCACGTAGAAATGCCCTTGAATAAAAATATTATTTAGTCTATGCATCAAGCCTTGACCATAAGTAAACTACATGCCCACCTTTTTTTCTCTTTGGTTGTTCTGGTGATGAGGTTCCTGGGGAGTCTGCGTATGTATCTTGAATTTGTTGAGTTTCCATCACTTCAGGAATCCCATCCAACGTGACAGACACATGGGTGACTGGGGCAACTATCATGTCATCCTCAGATGAACTAAATATATTATTAGCTAATGGAAAGAGAATAGACTAATTGTGATCACTTTGTATGGAAATCAGAATGGTTTCACAAAATAATTTACTGTTTCTATGAAGATTAAAGCACAAATAAAACATTGAACTCTATTCTCTGCTTTACATTTCTAAACAATGATTTCAATGACTTATTTACTAGACTTCCTCTCACCAATCTATCCTGTTTCTCCTTTCTTTTTTTCATGTCGCTGCTAAAGCTGTCTTCTGAAATGTAAGTCTAATCTGACCATATTATTGCTCTGTACAAAAACCTTTGAGAGAATAATAAAATTGGCATATCTTCCCATAGTTCACAGGGCGATAGATTCAAATTCTGTCTCACGTATTCAGTTTCCACAATTTAGACCAAATGTACCTTTCCACTCCGCGTAACGCTTACACTCCTCCAGTTATACCAAAACATTTACATCTCAAACATTTTCTTCTTTTTCACAAGTCTGTGTCTGTGTCTTTGACTTCCTTAAATGCCTTTTTCCTATTTGTTCTAACCTCTTCTTTAAAGGCATATTCACCATTTAGAGCCCAGGACAAAACACTCTCTCCATAAAATCTTTCTCTGATGTTCTCAACTCGAATGTTCTCTTTATCACCTTCACAGCCTTTGTTTTATTTTGTACAGTTGTTGTCTTGAAAATTAAATTGTAAACTCAAGGAGAAAAACAAAGTACATTTATATTTCACTTTACTGCCAAATACACTGTATATGTTGCTGTTTGCTATAGAGTCGATTCCAACTCTTAGCAAGCCCATAAATATAGCTGGCTCCATAAGGGGTTTCTTGGCTGTAATCTTGAAAACAAATGGCCAGGCCTTTCCTTCACATTCAAGTTAGTAGTTGGGCACAAACCATCTGTACCATCTAAGGACCTTTGCTGTACATAAACCACACCCACTGCCATGAAGCCGACTCCTACTCATAGTAACCCTATAAGACAGAGTAACGCTGCCCCAGAGGGTTTCCTTTATGGATGAAAAAACAGTCTTTATAGGAGAAGACTGCTGCATCTTTCTCCAATGGAGTGGATGGTGAGTTCAACTGTGAAACTCTCCATAAGCAGGCCAGAGCTTTAGGCACTATATCACCAGGACACTTCTCTCTATATGTTGATGTATGTTTTGTTAAATGCCATGTGTATAGTACATATTCAATAAGTATCCTGTATTGAGTTAGTAATAATTTTGTGAATTTAACTGCCAAAGGAAAGCCAAAAGGAAAACATGGGTTTAAAAGCAGATCAATATTAAATATTTAGTGATTTTTTTTTTTTTTTTACTGTTTATTGATAACTATTTATATAGCCCTGGTGTGGCGCTGTGGGCTAATGTGTCAGATTGCAAAGTCATTTGAACTGCAAGGTTGGTGATTCAAGCTCACCAGGTACTCCCTGAAACCCTATACAGGGTCGCTATGGGTCGGAATCAACTCGATAGCAACAATTTATAGAGACCACTTTGAGCTCTAAATAACCTAATACTCGGATCAATCAGGCTAAGATTAGAAATTGTGCATAATGTGCTATGGGACAGGTAATAAATTACTTTTTTGCTCCTAAAGACTTAATTCTGAAATTGAAATGAAGAAAAGCAAACAAACACACATCTGTTTATCTGAACATTTAGCAAAGGTGCTTCAACAAATACTGTATCTTAAAATATCTCAAACTTATTTCTGGGAGTAAGATGAGGGAAATACAATTTGTAACTGAACATTCTCATTATTTCTGTTCTGGCAATTCCATTTCCATTAATCTAGTCCCCTAGCCCCTTTACATTCTTATCTTTGCTTTAAAGTAATTAGTGACCATTTGGTCTTATGGAGATGATTTTTTTAAAAGGAGCACAGAACTTATGGGTGCTATTCATTTTTTTTTTTTTTTTTGAGATAATTTGTCATTTAGTTATAAGGTCAGGGATTAGTGTCAGTTCAAGGTCTGAAGAGTATCTCAAGGACAATGGTCTCGGAGAGTTGGAATTATTATTTTTTGTTGTTGTTGTTTAATGAATGGTTTTATTATTTTTGTAGCAGTATTTTTTTTAATGTTTTATTGTGAATTGGAATTATTTTTATAACTCACTTAGCTTCTATCTGCTTTTTAAAAACCATTACAATCATTTAATGTGTATGTAATATATTCTAAACAGTGTACAGGAAGCTTGGGGAACAAAATAAGATGAACTATGGTCTCCTATCTCTGGATATTTGCCATCTAACATAGAGAGCAAGGATACATAAACAAAGCATATACACAGGAACAACTGAAACAAACAACTCACTTAATCGTTTCTCATCCAGCATAGGGCCAGGAGAATCCATATTGAGGAGTGCCTCAGCAGCCTCGATAGTTTCAATAGTTTCATCCCCATTTTGGCAGGAAGCTTCAACTATAAAACATTTAAGGAAAAAAACAGAATTAGCAACAAGACATCTACTGCTCTGAAACTCAGACTACTAACCTCTCAAACGAGAACATAGTACTTTAACAGTCGGATTTATGTTGATACTTTTTGCATCAACACATAAAATCTATATTGAGTGTGACTATCAACTAATTGCCTAGCTTTGATTTAAAAAATAAAAACATGTTTGCAAGATGCTGGGGACAAAAAAGGTAAGCAAAACAGAGTAATATTCTGGAAGAAAACCAATAGGTATTTCTTTGATAATTTTCATATTTTTAAGAAATAATAAGAAGGGAAAACAAAGAAGATGGAGGATCAGGTAGAAGTGCAGTGAGGAGCTCTATCAGTAACAACACAGAATACCAGACCAAGCAGGCTTAGAAGATGGTGCCAAAACTCTGAACCATACAAAAAAGAATATTTAGAAGGTTGGAAGGCTTACAGCTAGGGGAATTTGTAGCAGAAGCAA